GGGGTCATCGTCCTCAAGGCCTGGTGGGCCAGGATGTGCTCCAGTCTCTCCTCCTCCCCCGTCATCTGCTCCTGAGTGCTCTGGTCAGATATATCCTTCTCCTGAAGCTGCAGATTCAGTGCCATCCTTTGAGAGAAATTCTTCTCGGGGGAGGGGCAGGTGTTTGGGTTTTTTTTAAAGCAGACATTCACTGAGAGATTATCAGACATTCACTGAGAAATTATTTGGTATTTTGCAGGTTACCCAGGCTGTCTAAAGTGGATGATGCTTTTGTGAGATAATGTCCAAGTTCAGAGCAATTCCCCAATGTCAGCATTGTTAACATGTCTGCCCTGAGCAGTTAGAGCGGCTGGCTCATTGTTTGTGTCACTCAAATGAGAAAGTAAATACCTCTCAACCACTGAAAATCAGCTCGGGGTGGGGGGTGGGGAGTTGGAGGGAGTGGGGATTGTGCCAGGCAGCAGCCTGTGGTTAATCAAGACTAGGAAAAGGCTAGACACAAATACAGCCACAAAGTTAACAGGAAATATTTCTTCAAAGGCATGGAGCAGATGTAAGGTGCCGTTTTTACCTCATCCTTGTGCTACCACAACTTTCTTAACCATGATGTCCCAGACCTGCTTTGTTATGCTCATCTAATTACTGGGGATACCAATTAACTAAACTATCCTTGCTTCATGCCAGCACCCAGTTAATCCCTGTTCCTAATCCGCAATTGAAATGCAACCAATCCATGCTTGACTTCCACTTCCCTAGAGCTTCACACCTTCACCAAGAACCCAAATCTTCCCAAAGACTCCCCTTTATAGTAGTTCTGGGATGTGCTCCCAGAATCATCAAATGATTTTGTTAGACCACAGGCTTACGTCTGGAGGTCTTTGGCTGACTGAGCACTAGAAGATGTAAATAAGCTTGTGTATGCTACTGCTTTATTGTGTTAGGTTGTCAAAATCCCTTATTAAGAGAAACCAGTCTCGAGAAGGACATCATGTGTCATAGAGGGCCAGCTTAAGAGGAAGAGAGAAGGACCTTAATGAAATGGATCGACTCAGCGTCTACAGCAATGGGCTTAAAGCATAGGAACAATCGTGAGGATGGCCCAAACCAGTCAGTGTCTCGTTCTGTTGTGCATATGGTTGCTATGGGTTGAAACCAGTTCATTGGCACCTAACAACAAAGCAAAATACCAAGCTCGATGGGCCAACACTCTGTACCTATGCAGCTGGAGATTGTGTTATCTGGTAGGTTTGTACCACTGAAGCCATGACCACCTTCATTTGGGCTTACTGTTGTCTCTCCAATCCCTTTTCCAAACTATTTAAAACTCCAACTTCCTTTTTATCCCCCAGTGATTTACTTCACAGAAATAGCTACTACACAAATATACACAAATCTATTCAGGTCATTCCTCTTCTAGCACATGCCTATTCCCCTTCTATTATTATAGTCAAAACTCGCCACATGTGCTTGAATGTCATGTCTCTCAGGAACACAGTTGTTAACTCCATCTGTAATTCGGAGCACCAGCATTTCGACATGCCACTCCTCTGGTCAGAAGAAAGCTGGCCTTCACATGTCACTACAACTACACTCCTCTCTGCTTCTTAGCCATACTTTTCAAATAGTGGTTTATTGTCTCCATTTCCTCACCTCTAATAGACTCTTCAAATATACTGTGGCTACTTTTCCTATATATCCAATGGTCCTCATGAGTCATCAATGATCCTTACTACTAATTCCAGTAGAACTTCATCATTTCGCTTATTTGGGAGATAACTGATGCAATCAGTTAATTTTGACACTGAAATTAAAAATGTCTAAGCATCTAGGACACAGCAGCTTGCTTCCTGCCTTGATGCTGTTTTCCTGGACACATGCTGGCTTATCTACCTAATCTGGAAGTACAGGTGGTCCCCATTTTATGACTTCAGTTACATTGAGCCACACCCCCATCGGGTTTGGGTTTTTGTATATCTAATCGTGAGCAATGTATACTACATACAGTGTTGAATTCCTTGATGCGCTCAGAGTTTACTCACAGATGTTCAGTGATCTGATTTATAAAGATACTGGCAGTATACACAATAACAAAAATAAAAAATGCTGCTTTCTGTCAGGACCTACTTACCCCTTAACAGTAGTTGAAACAGAAGCACCCTGTTAAGTCAGGGGACAAACCTATATTGGTGCTCCTCAAAGCTTGGTCCTACACTTTGTTTTTCACACTCAGTAGTCTTAGACTAGTTCATTCTCTCCCGCCGTTTCAATTAGCAGCCAGCAGCCATTGACCTTCAGATGTGGTTCTGGTTCCAGACCTTTGCTAAATTGTCATTTCCACCTGGTAGACTCAGGAAACAAGTTATGTTATCCCTAAATTTGCTCCTCCTTTTCTATCCCTCCATCATTGACATTACTGCCACCTGTCTACTTGCCCAAAACCAGAAACCCTGGAATTGTCTCTGACTCCAACCCTCAAACCTCCTGTTCAGTCATCAAGAGCACAAACTACTGACTTGTCTCAAGTACTTTGTGGAGTTAGCCTTCCTAAATATGTAGTCCCATGGGTTAACTGTCATCATCTGTCGTACTGCTTCTGCAAATGCTTCCTATTGGTATCCCTTATTTCTACTTTTGCAACATATAATTCATTCGCCATGCAATAATTCAGGGAATCTGAAATATAAAATATCACACCACCACCCCTACAGTAGGCAAAATCACCATAAGGATATTCTTAGGTCTTGGAGGATAAAGAGGTGGAGAGGGAGAAGCGTCTGAGCACTGTTTAATACAATATAGACTTACAGATTAATGAAAACATGGTTGTCAAGAATGTAAAGGTTTGATTTATACACAGGACTGAGATCAATTTGCTTATCAGATATTTTTTCACTGGGACTGAATTTAAGGAGTTAGATTTTTTTCCTCTTGTATCCTCTCACCAAGTTTGTTCAATCTATGCTGAGCAAATAATCAGAAAATCCGGATTATATGAAGAAGACTGTAGCATCAAGATTGGAGAAAGATTTATTAACCTGTGGTATGCAGATGACACAACCTTGCTTGCTGGAAGTGAGGAGGACTTGAAGCACTTGCTGATGATCAAAGAAGTATGGATTACAAGTCAGTGTAAAGAAGACCAAAATTCTCAGAACTGAGCCAACAGGTAACATACATAGGGAAGAGGCCGAAGTTGTCGAGGATTAGGTCTTACTTGGAACCACAATCAATGCTCCTGAATGCAGCAGTCAAGAGATCAAAAGACATTGCATTAGGTGAATCTGCTGCACAAGACCTTTTTAGATGTTACTTTGAGGACTAAGGTGGCCCTGACCCAACCTATGCTGTTTTTCAATGGTCTCATATGCATGTGAAAGTTAGACATTGAATAAGGAAGACCAGAGAAGAATCAATGCATTTGAATTGTGATGCTGGAGAAGAATATTGAAAGTACCATAGACTGCTAAAAGGACAAATGGATCTGCCTTGGAAGAAGTAAGGCCTGAGTGTTCCTCAGAGGCCAGAACGGCAAGGCTTCCTTTGTCTTCCATACTTTGGATATATTGTCAGGAGAGACGAGGCCCTGGAGAAAGAGTTCATGCTTAGTAAAGTAGAGGAGCAGCAGAAAAGAGGAAGGCCCTCCATGAGATGGAGAGACATTGCAGTTGAAAGAATGGCTCAGGCATAGGAACATTTGTAGGGATATTCCAGGACTGGGAGGTGTTTCCTTCTGTTGTGCATAAGGTCACTTTAAATTGGACCTGACTCAATAGCACCTTAACAACAACAACCTTCTCTTAAAGGTCTTGTAACAGTTTTTGCTTGCTGTTAAGATAAAGTCAGTAATTCACAAATCCGTCATCACCTGTCTACATGTTTAGCCCCATTTCAGGCTCCTCTCCCATCATTATGCACATCTACTTTCTTTCAAACTTCTTAAGGGCCTTGGGACAGTTTCCTCTGCTTGAAATGTTTTTCATTCATGATTTTACTTGGCTAGCACCTGCCGACTCTTTTGATTTTAGTGGAGATCTCATTTCCTTAACCTCAGGTTAGAGCTGCCAACTGCTTACTGTCTCATAGCCCCTTGTTATTTCCTCTGCAGGGACATTGAGCACAGTCATGATGAAATGATTTCCAGTTAGTGTGCAGCCCTCAAGGAACTGGGCCTGTCCTCTCCTTTATCCCCACTGCGCTAGCACATAGGTCTTCATAAGTACTTGCAAATGGAAATGAATAGTCATATCAATACATCATAATAAATTAGCAGATGTGTCTTATTTGCTCTTCGGAGGGCAAGAACTGAGAACCAGATATACATACTTGAAAACAATTTCTGATGCCTAATTGGGATAAGAAGAGATATCTACTTGGGCTGAGGTGATTGTTTGAACAGCCTTATCGAGGTATAATTATGTCAACATTTTAAGCAATCAAGCACCACTCCACATAAAATTTTACCGCACTGACAAGTTCTTCGTCAGAAGGCTAGAGCATCAGGAAGCTGGTCTTCACAACCAGGTTGGGCCATTTCTGTGTGAGGTAGCAGGTGTAAGGACTGAGGGGAGCTGAGTGGACCGGACAAATGCACAACCTTCTGGGATCGCTGCTTCCCAAACCGCCCTTTCTCCTTTCCAGTCCCTTGGAGGGCTCCGGGTGGCATACATAGCAGGCTCCCCAGGGGGCTGCTCACGAAGAGGTTGGCAGTGGGAATCCACCATCCACTCTGCTGAGAAAGAGGAGGTTTTCTGCTTCAGTAAAGTTGTAGTCACGGAAACCCTAGCTTGTCCTCTAATCCGGCCTCTCTGAGATTTACTTTGAGGATTAAGTTGCGCCTGACCAGAACCTGGTATTTTCAATTGCCTCCATATGCATGTAAAAGTTGGACATTAGATAAGAAAGACCCGACAAAAATGGATGCATTTGAATTAGGGTGCTGAAGCAGAATATTTAAAGTACGCACTGCCAAAAGAACAAATCTGCCTTGGGAGAAGTACAACCAGAATGCTCCTAAAAGCGAGGAAGGTGAGGCTTCATCTCGCCTACTTTGTTCAGGTTACCAGGAGAGACCAGTGCCTACCGAAGGAGATCATGTTTGGTAAAGAGGCAGCGAAAAAGAGTACGGCCCATGACAAGCTGGATTGACACTGGCTACAATAGTGCGCTCAAGCATGGGAACAATTTTAAGGCTGGCGCAGGGCCAGGCAGTGTTTCGTTCGGTGGTACCGAGGTACCCACCCGACTGATCCTAACAAAGGAAACAAACGAGTTAGGTGGGACTGGAGGTCAGAGTGTGCCTTCTTTGTGGATGTGGCACTGGGTCGGTTCTGCTCTTTCCGGCCCCGCCCTGGGCGGAGCGGGGCGGGACTTCCGGTCTGTATTCCGGCCGCGGAAAGTCGACTCCCAGCGCGGAAAGGTTTGAACTGCTGGCTCTCGTCCTGTCCTGTCTGTGGGCTTCTGAGCTGGCGCTTCCTCTGCTGTCCCGTTGTTCGTTCCTGGCGGACACCTTGCCTCATTCTCCCGTTCTCCCGCCTGCGACCGTTCTCGCTAGTTGATGACTACGCTGGCGAAGCAGTGGTGGGCAGGGGCCGTGAAACACCGGTGCCGTTGATTAACCTCATTTCCACAACTTTGCAGCCCAGAAAGAATTGCTGTGAGTCAGAGTCGTTTGGTGGTTGTTTTCGTGAAGCTTTCTGTGCAACTAGGTAACTCATTTAGGAAAATGAGATCCCCATGGCAATCAAGAGCCGGCGTGTGTGTGTGTGTGTGTGTGTGTGTGTGTGTGTGTGTGTGTGTGTTTGTGTTTCAATCGTTCCACGTATAGACTCGGACGTAACGTACTGACTGGGTGATGAGGATGTAAACCGGAAGAAGACAGGAATGAAGTTGGAAATGTTGGCTGGAACCCTGTTATGACTTGTTATGATGTACCAGCAACTTGACACATTACGCTGTATGCAGTGATGTAAAGCCGTTCAAATGATCTGGGTTTGGGGAAGTTCCTTGCGACAGCAACAGCATTGGAAAGGGAAGACACCAGAGAAAGGTTCGAGGCAGTTGCAAGGCGGGAACTGCTGAATAGAATAGAAACAGAAGCGAAGGGAGCCAGGTTTTGGTTTTTGACCAAATACTGTTTTAGATAAGTTCCCTACTTAGTCTGGATTTATATCCTACTGGAAGAAGAGAATAAACAAGCAAATAAACAGATTCCAGAATGGGATAAAAAGTGATTGGGATAGGATTGGTCTTTTGAACTGAGTTAGTCAGGTTAGGCTTTTGAGGACATGACATTTGACTGAGATTTAATGGTGACAAAGAGTCAGCCATGTGATGAGCCAGGGCAAGCACATGCTGGAGGGAACAACTTAAAGGGCCTGAGATGTGTGCAGAAGAAGTTGTTTAAAACAACAACAAAAAGCACACAGTAAAAAGGCCAATATGGCTGAACTGTCCCGGACAAAAGGGAGAGAATTAGCTGACATTAAGGGAGAAAGTTAAGTCACAGGGTGTGGATATTGTAGGTCGTGGTTAGGCATTAGAGCGTTTTCCCTTCCTGCTAAGTCCAAATGGAAGCTATTAGTGATTTCTACGTTAGCAGGTGATGGGTCTGATTTTTATTTTAAAAGATCCCTCTGGATACTGAGTGGAGACTGGATATGAGGGAACCAAGAGTTAGAGAGTAATCTGTTTAGAAGCTATTCCAGCAGTTCTCGTGATAAGAGTGATTGCGTTCCATTGTAATCATGTTACAGAGTTTGATGTATTTGTGGAACAGGCTCATGGAAAGAGTTTTAATAGACAGCTGGGAGCTTTAGGAAGAGCTCGGGTTGACTTGGGAGTTGTGTAGACCAAATAGTAAATGTTAGGAGTGCAGATAAACCATCTAGACCATATCATTTCAGATTTACTTATATACTACAAAAGATTATAGGTTGGTTATCCCAATTCTATCCTCGAGACGGCTTTATGTACAATAGAATAAATGGCTGCCCAGTCCTGCATCATCCCTACAACTGCCAGTATGTGATTGTAGCTAATGTGCCAATCCATTTCACTGAGGGTCTCTAAGACCTTCCTTGGCCCTCTACCAAACATGATGTCCTTCTTTAACAATTGATCCCTCCTGCTAATGTGTTCAAAGGAGCCCTAGTGGCATAGGGGTTGCACATTAGGCTGTGATCCTCATGGTTCAAAGTTTGAAACCACCAGCAGTACCACTGGGCTTTCTACTCCCGTCAACAGAGAAACAGAGAAAGACTGGGCTTTCTACTCCCATGAACAGCTACGGTCTTAGAAACCCACAGGGGATCGCTATGAGTCAGCAGTGAGTTTGGTTTGGTTTGGGATAATGTGTTCAAAGCAAATGAGTTGGACAGTGTTTTGTTTTGATCCATAAGGCTTTGATTGCTAATTTTCAGAAATAGATCACGAGATCTTCAGAATCTTTATTGGCCTGGAAGTTCCACTGAACCTTCTCCACCATGGTTGGACTTGCAGGTAGTTGAAATATTGATTGTGGCTATCTGAAATAGCTTCAAGATCATAGCAATATGCAAGTGAGCACAGTATGATAGGCTGACAGTAGTTATGGCTCTCAAATGTACCCAGATGACAAACACTGAAAGGGAATAAGACAGGAAAAAGCCAACATGGGGTATAAATGTTGCAAAAGCATATCTAATAAGAGATGACATGAGAACTCAGATCAGGTTTTGAAGAACCTTGGATTTAAGATGATAGTGAAGACAAGGAATGATTAAATATATAGGTAGAAGTGGGGAGAAAAACCATGGTAATGCATTGTTTAAAAAATGTGGGGAGCAGGACGGAAGTTTGAACAGGTGGAGATTGATAACGCTGTACAGATTGACCACTTTTTTGGTGTGTGTGTGTGTTTGAGGATAAAGACTTCGGAAGACTAGTGACTGTTGTGAAACTGGTTTCGTTTGCCTGGAAAGGAAGCCAGATTGCAGTGGTTAAGGATTAAAGGGCAAGAAATGGGCAATAAGCCAAAAGCCCCGGTGGGTTTCTAAGACTATAATAACTGTTTACAGGAGTAGAAAGCCCAGTGGAGCTGCTAGTGATTTCAAGCTGCCAACCATGCGGATCCCAGCCCAATATGTAACCACTACGCCACCTGAGCTCCTAAGCAATGAGCAAGTGATGCAAATTATTGTTAGGAAATAGGGGTAAACTGGGGAAGGAGGTATCTATGGAGATTTGTTTTTTTTCTGACAGTGAAATTTAGTCACATTAGAAATGGAACAGGATTAGGAATAATAGTCAAAGAGGGAGTGGGATTTGTTACAGAAACATATATGTTTTCTTGAATTCATACGCCTTTCATGAAATTGTTTGGTGCCACTGAGCTGGTTGAGAATTGTAGCCACCCTGTTTATAACAGAACGACATATTAAGAGAGCCCAGTCCCGGGAGAAGGACATCATTCTTGGTCAAGGGGCAGTGAAAAAGAGGAAGACCCTCAATAAGATGGATTGACACACTTGTTGCAATAATGGATTCAAACATAAAAGCAGTTGTGAGGATGATGCAGGACTGGGCAGTGTTTTGCTCTGTTATACCTAGGGTCGCTGCAAGTCAGAACCGACTCATGGCACATAGAAGCAACAAGTACTGCTTGTAAAAAGGAGACAAGAAATGTACCTTTTTACTTTCAGAGAGGTATGACCATTTCCGGTAGGAATTTGTGGTGTTCACAAATGAATTGCTGCACTCTTACTGCAGAGGTGGAATTTTCTTGTCGTATTGAATGTGATACACCATATACTGTACAGAAAACAAGAGAAGTATGCCGCAAACATGACAGAGGCTGTTATAACACTTAGCGCCCTATTTTCTCCCTGTAGCTGAGCTTCTCACATTTGTGTAAATTTGTAGGCATTCGTTACTGATGTTAATTCCCTATCCTTTAAGTATAGTGAAGATACCACTTTGCTTCCCAGATGAGCTGTGATGGCACAGTGGGTTATGCATTGGTCTGCTAACTACAAATTCATGAAACATTTCAAACCCAGCGGCCACACTGCAGGAGAAAGATGAGGCTGTCTGCTTCCCTAAGGATTGACAGCCTTCGCAGTCCCCTGGGGGACAATTCTATTCTGTCCTCTACGGTTGCTATGAGTTGGGACTGCCTTGGTGGCAGTGAATTTTTTGTTTTCGTTTTGTTTTCTTTCAATAAATGTAAATACAGTGCTAAATGTTTGGATACATTCTTATTTTGGACCAACTTTCATACTTTAGCATGACTATTTGTGCTTTTGTTTTCTCTAGCTCGGTCAATCTTTGGTCTCTTCTGATCAAGAGTCAAAGGAATGGCAGCTGAAATTCGAATGGCACTTTATGAAGACGATTCCGTGCAAGTCCAGTATGTTGATGGCTCCACATTGCAGCTTTCTCCCTGTGGCTCTGAATTTCTATTCGAAAAGGCACCACCTCCCTCAGCTCATCCATTAGAACAACCGGAACGAATTCGTCAAAGAACACAGTTTGTTATCAGCACCTACCGAGTAAGTAAAGCTGGGACAGAAATGAAGGAAGTGTCAAGGCGCACCAGAATATTAAAAGTAATTTGTATTCTGGATTATAATCACTCGAGATTGATTTTCAAATTATTGTACATTTTTAAGATTACATTGTGTACTTTTTTTTGTAGGAGCAACTACAACGAGCCTTAGATTTTAGAAATTCTTTTGCAGCTTACCCTTTTTTATCTGAAAGCATCATACCTTCTGAAAGAAAAAAGGTAAGTTTCTTGGTGAGACTCATTTTCTTGAGTAATAATTAGAAACAAGTACTTGAAGAATTGTTTACGACCCTTGTGAATAAAAACTTCAGAATGAATGTTAGTTGTTGCTATTGTTATAGTTCTGTTGAATTGGTTCCGACTCATTGCAACTGTATGTACAACAGAAGGAAACACTGCTCAGTCCTGCGTGGTCCTCACAATGAGTATGTTTGAGCCCATTGTCGCAGCTACTATGTCAGTCCATCTCCTGTAGGATCTTCCTCTTGTTCACTGACCCGCTGCTTTACCAAGCATGATGTCCTTTTTCCAACACTGGTTTCTCCTGACAACATACCCAAAGTAAGTGAAACACAGTCTTGCCATCTTTGCTTCTAAGGAACATTCTGGCTATATTTCTTTCCAGACGAGATTTGGTCGTTCTTGACCATCCATGATATCCTTAATATTCTTTAACCCCAAAATTCAAAGGTATCCATTCTGATTCTTGTCTGTCCCGCCTTATTGGTTGCCCAGCTTTCATAGGGACATAAAGTGATTGAAAGTACCTAGACTTGCACCTGAGTCCTCAGAATGACATCAAAGTGTCCTCTGATTTCTTGATTGCTGCTTCCATGAGTATGGACTATGGATCCAAGCAAAATAAAACCCTTGGCAACTTCGATCTTGTCTCTGTTTATCTTGATGCTGACGACTGGTGCAGTTCTGGGGATTTTTGTTTTCTTTACGTTGAGTTACAGCCCATACTGATGGCTACAGTCCTGTATCTTCATCAGCAAATGAATCAAGTCCTCCTCACGTTCAGCAAGCAAGGAGATATCATTACATATCACAGGTTGTTAATAAGCCTTCCTCTGGTCCTGATGCTGCATTCTTCATGTTAAACGTTTAGGTATAAATGTAATAGCTGTCATTTGTTACGGGTTTATCATATGCCACAAACCATGAAATAATATTAAACATTTAGTAACCCCATTATGATATGGTAGACAAGCATCCCTGCTGATCACAATGGAAACCCTGTCAGAACAGGTGGAATGGCTGAATATCAGCTCTATTTTACAGGTGAAGAAACTAGGCCTCAGAGCATTTAGCATAATTTGCCCATGGACCGTGTAAATGACAAGAGGGTTGAACCCAGCCTATATGACTCTGAAAACTGTCTTTTTTTGTTTTCCTTTTAAAAATCATTTTATTGGGAGCTCATACAACTCTTATCACAATCCATCCATCCATCCATTGTCAAGCACTTTTGTACATTTATTGCCATCATCATTCTCAAAACATTTGCTTCCTACTTGAGCCCTTGTATCAGCTCATTTTTCCCCCTCCTTTCCCCACTCTTCCTCAAGAACCCTTAATAGTTTATAAATTATTATTTTGTCATGTCTTACACTTCTCTTCACCCACTTTTCTGTTGTCCATCCCCCAGGGAGGGGATTATATGTTGATCCTTGTGATCAGTTCCCCCTTTCTGTCCCACCTTCCTCTTCCCCTCCTGGTATCGCAACTCTCATTATTGATCCTGAGGAGTTTATCTGTCCTGGATTCCCTGTGTTTCCAGCTCTTATCTGTACCAGTGTATATTCTCTGGTTTAGTGGGATTTGTAAGGTAGAATTGGGATCATGATAGTGGGGGGGAGGAAGCATTAAAGAATTAGAGGAGGAAAAAAAAAAAAGAACTAGAGGAGAATTGTATGTTTCATCGATGCTATACTGTACCCTGACTGGTTTGTCTCCTCCCCACGACCCTTCTGTAAGGGGATATCCAGTTGTCTGATGGGCCTTGGGTCTCCACTCGGCACCTCCCCCTCATTCACAATGATAGGATTTTTTGTTCTTTGATGCCTGATACCTGATCCCTTCGACACCTCATGATCACACAGGCTGGTGTGCTTCTTCCATGTGGGCTTTGTTGCTTCTCAGCTAGATGGCCGCTTGTTTACCTTCAAGTCTTTAAGACGCCAGACACCGTATCTTTTGATAGCCGGGCACCATCAGCTTTCTTCACCACATTTGCTTATGCACCCGATTGTGTTGGGAAGGTGAGCATCATGAAATGCCAGGTTAATAAAACAAAGTGTTCTTGCAATGAGGGAGTACTTGAGTGGAGGCCTATGTCCATCTCCTACCTTAATACTAAACCCATAAATATATGTACGTAGATCTATTTCCCCATCATGAAGACTGTCTTTCAACTACTTTCTTCTTCATTGTTTTGCTGCTGGTATGCTTACTTGCCTGCAAAGGAATTTTCTATTACTGTCTGGTGTCAAAGAAGCTGTAAAAAGATTGTGACTTGTACCTTAGTTTCAAAGACTATTTTCAATTGTGTCTTTTGTATGCTGTGTTCATTAAAACTGCCTACCTGGCTTCTGATGCTACAGTTGAAGTATTAATTAGACTATGGTATATACTTGAGAATAAGCTGACCCAAATATATCTGCTGAGGCACCTAACTTTACCACAAAAACTACATTAAAATGTGCTGGAAAACTTGGCTTATTCACGAGTATATACGGTAATTCCTAAAGAGAACATTCTTCATGGCTCTAATTTTATCCCCCTACCAGTTGTGTAGCTATAGGCCATGCCCCACGGATTTATGTAAATGGAATGGCTCAAATGGTATCCATAGGTCATAGTGTAAATTTGAGGTTTCTTGACATTCATCGTTTGTTGTCCTCTGTAGCACATACTTCTAGGTGTGTGTGTGTGTGTGTGACTTTGGCTCTGATTGGGGCCAGCCCTGTTGTATTAGTCTGGGTAGACTAGAGAAACAAAATTCATAGACACTCATGTGTATAAGAAAGAGCTTTATATACAAGAGCAATTTAATATTGATAAAACATCCCAGCCCAGTCCAGATCAAGTCTATAAGTTCGGTATTAGCCCATATGTCCGATACCAATCTGTAAAGTCCTCTTCAGACTCATGAAACACATGCAATGAAGCCGAATGCAGGACGATCATAGGCCAGTGGGTGGAAAGTCCT